TTTGGTACATGTAAATACTCTTAAATAGAAGTATTACATGTTAGAAACTTATTTTCAACTTGGTAAAATGTCTCTCATAAATTTTTAATGGCCCGCAGAAGCGCATGTCGACAAGAAATTGTACTTTACATATACGGACTCTGCACTGCTACGGTTAGTTGGGGCAGCAAGTTCGACTATTTTTATAAAATTCATCCCAACTCCGTTTTCTATGAAATTTATAACATTAGAAAGATATTTTCAAGTAGTATTCTAGGTTAAAATATAAAAAATTTCCAAGATCATATAATATGGGCGTTTTACTGAAAACAGTGAGGTATTGCACAGAAATTTCAGATTTGACCCTTCAACGTTTAAAAATTCATATCTCAGGCTACAGATATCCAAATTGAGTGATTCTTGTGCCCATATTAAGACAACTCAATGAGGAACGCAGTAATATTTTCAGAGTCTCAAATGGACGTTTATGGAGTCAAAAATAACGTGTTGAAGTTGACCCAAAAACTGTCCCGTTTCGGCCTTTTGTCACTTGCAAGGAAAAGTTTTCAAAAAAAAAATGTCTCTTAACACAACATAGAAGATATAATTGCATAATTTACTTCCGGTACCATATTATATCATGTCTCGTACATGTTTTTATACAATATCATAAGAAAACATATGGAAAGCAGTCAAACAAAACATGCAAAAACAAAATTTCGATGCAAAACAACCTTATCCCTAACCCATCATCGATTATGCCGACTGACTTCGACCAACTCCGCAATTATGAATCAGAAAATTTAGTATAGAACACTATGAGTATAAAGAATACTCAGTAAGATACCATACTTGGATTTTAACATGTTAATACTACACAAAAGAATGCAATCAAACACATACTTGCACATTCCTGCTTGCCGGCACCCTTCGGACTTGTCCTAAGTCATAAATAGATATCTATCTTTGTGGACTTGTCCACCATATTCATTCTACATATCTACATAACTTTGATGATAGGCTTATAGCACATCATATGGTGGTTACGATCATTGAGTATGAGGTTCCGTAACCTATTGACATCAATTTTCATTAAATATGTCATTTATGAGTATTTTCATATACATGCACGACATGTGATATGGTTGAAAATCCTGCATGCAAAACATGATTTCAAAGTGAGTTTCGTTATAAATGTTTCATTGATCACCCACCGCTTGAAAGAGAAAGCAAAAAGGAAAAGAGAGAAGCAGAAACAAGGAGCTGAAATTGAATTTCTGGATAGGTGAGTTTAGCTCACGATTTTGAAGTTTTTCTTTAGCTCTTTTGCTTGTTTTATAATATGTTTAAACTATAAACTTACTTGAGGCTAAGTATAAGGGTTGTTTATGATTTTATGATGGCAAAAGAGAGGGGTAATTGAGTACAAGAACCTGAAAGAAACCAACAGGAATAGAGATGTGTTGATTGATGAATTTGGAT